TCAGAGTACCCTCTGGCCTCCTCTGGACGATGTTTATTGACACAGTCACCGGGAATCACAGGAGGAACAACTCTGAGCAGGATCTGGAAAGAGGAGAGATCTCCACTCACCAAACCCAGAGATCACCAAGGCACAGCCCTTTCTGCAGGGATGGGGACAGGACTCCATATGAGTGTCACTCCAAACTCCTGCAGAACTGTTGTGTCCCACCTCACCCCCAGCACTGGCAGGACAAGATGCACGTTTGCTGTGCCATGAAAATGGGGAGTGAAGGTGTCAGCCAGGAGGAAGCAAAGAAGAGCTTGGGACACAGTGCCTGGGGAGAGGAGACATGCCCAGGGCAATGGGCTTGGGTGTTCAGTCATCCCAGAAGAGCCTTGGGTGAACACAGCCCTGCTGCTCCTGCAGCCCAGCCAGCTCCAGGAGACTGCCCTGGGAATCTCTGCATGGCTGTGCTTGGTTCCTGGCGTGGTTGGTTCATGGAGTGCTTGGTTCCCAGCCAGGATAACCCCCCTGAGAGGACATGGACTGAAACAAAGTGTGGCAAAATCCCAAAGAAAAGCCAGGACTGCACGTTGTTTGTTTTAGTGGTTTTTAAGGAAAACTGCCCGAAGGTATTTGAAGTTTTGGAGGGGTTTGTTTCCAGTGACCCACCTGGAGAGAGGGGACAGACCCTGGGGTCTCTCATGGGCTGTCTGGGTGGATTCTGAGCTCACATGCATGCACTTGAAGTTCAGCAGCTCCTCCCAAGACCTCCTGGCTGGGACAGGGAAGGTTCCTGCCACCACTTCAGGTGCTCAGGGGAGGCTCAGCCCTGAATCTCTGCAGTCCAGGCACCCTGAGCACCAGGCTCTGCAGCAGGACCCAGCACTGGCCCTTCTCTTAGCACCAGTGGGGGTGAACTAAAAATTCCCTGTGCTTTTAGGAGCCTCCCCTGGAGGCAGCTCTGTCCCACCCCAGTAACAACGTCTCGCTTTGTTCCTCCACAGCAACACCACCAGGTCCAGCCCCTCCAGCTTCTCCAGGCCCCTGGTCCACTCTGTGCGCAGGGAGAGGTACAGGGACTGGAGGAAACCGGGAAGGATCATCCGGAAAGCGTGAGGATGGATCTGCTGGGAGCGTGGGGAGAGAGGGCTGAGCCGGAGGAGCCGCCCCTCGGGGTGTGCAGCACCTCACCACCCCACCCAGGAGCATCCTCCGGCCACTGGGACCTGCATCCTGCAGCTTTCCTCACTGAGAGCACACAGCTGAGGAGGAATGAGCCCCTTCCTCCCGGGAATTCACCCCTGCAGGGTGAGGAGCTGCAGTGCAGACGCCTCAGCAGCGTCACTCGAGGTGGGACCTTCACCACCCAACACAGCGAAGCGACTTTTCAGCTCCCCTAAGGGTTGAGTGGATGGAGAGCAGATTTCCTGGGGGAAGAATGAAATGTGCTCCTGCAGGGGCAGCCCTGGGAAGCCTGCAGAGGGTTTCAGGCTCCTCTTCTCCTGCTCCAGGACTGCGTGGCCAGTAAGCCTCATTTCCCAAACCGACTGGGAAATCTTTTGTGTCCATTTTGCCACCGCTCCCAGGAGAATTTGCCTCTACTGGGACACGCAGAAAGAACTCCTGGCACTTTGGAAATGCTGGCTCCCCATTCGGCCTCAGGCACTGAGAGTCTGTAAATTTTTTTCTGCTTTCCTTCACACCTGTTAAATGAGTTACTCTGGGGTGGAAGGGGGGAAAACGCCCTGAACCAGTGACTCAGAGTTTTGCCACCAATTGCAATTTGCTGCAGTGACCTTGTAATTAGCTTTCCTTGGAGCATTCCCAGCAGTCGAGCCAAAGAAATGTAAGGGCCACTTTCTAATGAGCAGATAGATGGGGAAGGAATACAATATTGCTCTTTTTGAGCCTGCAGTTTAGGCCTAAAATTAAATTTCAGAGGCAAAAGTCTGCTGTTGCATCCTGCACCTCACGTAGGCAGGATGGGAATGGTGGAGCGCTGCAGGGATTCTGACACTGGGCTCTCACAGCAGCTGCCCGTGGCAAAACTGCTCCCTATTTGCTGAACATAATGTTTGGCTCAAACACAGCCTGTTTTTCTCGTTGCCAGCCATTTAAGAACCTGACTCAGGCTCACAGACGCATTATCCAGAAGCAGATAGGGAAGGGAGTCGGGATGGATTATGCATTCATTATCCAGAAGTAGCCACCAGATACATTTGCACATTTGTCTGCTGCTCGGTTGTTTGCAAATTGTTCCTGCTGGTTGACACTGTGTTTGTTCAGTCACCCAGGGCTGGAGTCACCTGAGCTCAGCGCCCAGACCCGGGTGCTGCAAAGAGGGGAGTGGGAGGGGGTGTGATGTGACTCCTCCCAGGTTAAACACCACAAAGGAACCTGCCTGAACTGTGCTCCTGAAGTTCCCAATCCTCTACCCCAAGCAGGATAAGTAACTCAGATGTAAACTTCTACTTTCACCTAGGGGAGATGAATTTTCCACCTTGAAGTTCATGCCTGGTGTTTGAAAAAGGAGAAAGAAGTGGCAGTTAATGTTTCCTGCACATTTCGAAGCATAAAACTCCCTGCAAAGTTGTGCCTCAGCCCTGTGACACTGGCCCTGAGGCCTCCATGGCCTGTCCTGATCTGTGCAGGTACAGCCACAGGTGACAGCAGCAGAGGGAGAAGGTGGCAGGAGGAAAAACATTCAGAAAGTGTTTCTGGGTGCTGGGTTGATTTTCTGGTCCCTGGATTTGAGTGTGAATGGTGGATGTGCAGCTGGATGTTCTCCCTGCTCTTCTGCCAGAGCCTGTGTGACTTTGCTGGGAGCACTTGCAATGGAGAAAGGTTTTTAATTCATTACTCCAGTGGGACAGGAGCAATTCCCTCTGTCCTCAGTGGGACACACAGACCTGAGCAGGGACAGAGGGACCTGACTGGGCAGTTGCATCCTTGAGGAAAGGGGAATGGCCAGGACTGCCTTGCTCTGCTGATCACATGCTGGATTTGTTCTTGCAAATATCATCATGTTCCCTTCCAATAAACTCGTTTCCACACGTGATGTTCAGGTTGTCTCTGTCCTCATTCAGCCCTTGCCTCTCTCTCTCCAAAGCTGGTTTTGGCTTTCCCCTTCTGGGAGCCAGCGAAGGCACGGGCTGGAAGCTGCTGCTGGGAGGGTGATCCAGCAGGGCTGAAAGCATCTTCCATGCTGAGTTTACAGCACAAATGTTTGTTCTCTCATCCCTAGTGCAGAGGATTGCAAACCAGAGTCTTGTCTCAGGTGCTTGTAGGTTTGCTTTGGGTTTTTTTTTTTTTTGCAAATGTTCGGAGTGCTCTGATGGTGGCAGAGAGCTTGGGGTCCACCAGGCTTCAGTGGTGTGGACCCCCAGGGTCCAGACCCTGCAGAGGCTCAGCTTCACTTTGGTGTTTGCACGATGGTCTGGGCTGGCTGAAGGCTGGGGGGGATGAGGGCACAGCCAAGGGTGATCGATGTGCTGAGGTGACTCCAGCCCCTGGGGGTTGGGTCTCATTCTGTGCACCTTCACCCCTCAGCACCCTCGGACACACGTTTATTCCCTTTGCAGGGGAGGTGGGTGACTTTCTCCCCAGGAAGGGCTGTGCTGTGACATCAGGACACACAAGGAGTGACTCCAGACAGGAATTCCCAAGAAGACACCCCACGTGTGCCGTAACCAGCAATGTCTCCTCCACAAAACCAGCACAGCCCCTGCACTGAGCTGTGCTGTTTGTTACAGAAGACAAACACCCCCAGAAACCTAAAAAAAGACATGCAGCAGCACTTTCTGGACTCCACGTGCAGCCCCTTGGCCCAGTGCAGCCTCCCCTCAGGCACCCCAGGGCAGGATCTCACCTCGCGTGGCTTCAGCTGCCCCGGGCCAGGAGGCTCTGCTGAAAACAGTCTCTGTGGGCTGCACAGAAATGAAACCACACTTTGCTTAGAAACTTCCTTTTTAGCTTGAAATTCAGTCTGCAGCCCTTCCACAGGGAGTCAGTGAAAGCCCCGGTCACCCCGGAGCTGGCTGCCCTCAGGAGCACCCAGGGGGGCTTCAAAGCATCAGGTTTGGACCATCCACGGATTAACTTCCCTTCAGGGACCGTTTCCATCAGGTCCCAAAGAGTTCATTGGGATGGAGCATTGGGATTTCACCCTCTGGGCTTTTCATCTCAGCTACGGATGTGTCCTGCCTTGCAAAGCAAAGGTGGTGGCAGTTTCAGGGTTGGGCTTGGACCAGAACTCTTCTGCACCAGCACACCAGAGATCATCTGAACATCTCAGTGAGGCCCTCTGGGGGTTGCCTTTTGCCTGGGAAAGGAGCAGGAAGACAGTTTCAGAAATTTTCGTTTTCTGACCTGCAGAATGATGCTTGTTTGGAGTATTTGCTGCGCCCTGGGGACACACCTCCCCACCCACAGCTTAGGAATCCCACCAGTCTGCAGCTTTTCCTGAGCCAGAAGAGTAAACAGCACCCAAACCTGCTGGATTTAAATGCTGCACCTGAGATCTCAGGCTGGGTCAAATAGGGGAGCTACGAACCCCCCTCCTTGGTGTCAAACTGTGCCTTTGGGGTTACAGCTATTCGAGATGAGTGTCTGCAGTACCTGGAAACCCCCAGCTCACCCCGTGGTTTGGGAAGTGATGTCAGCCCAGCCCTGCTGAGCTCTGCACCCCTCGATGCTTCCTGCTGGGGCCGGACCCTGCTGGCTGTGCTGGGTGGGGTCCCACAGCCACTTCCCCTGCATCCTCGCAGGGTCTGTGCTCCCCTCCCCAGCACCTCCTGGGGACAGCAACCCCACAGGCTCCTGCTTTTGGAGGGATTTGGAGCAAAATCCGGCCGTTCTCATAAATCAGCTGCTGCCTGTGCTGCCTGCAGCTCTTTGAGCTGCTGGAGCTTCAACCACCGAGTTCTCCTTTCCATCACCCAGCCAGGGGGTCACCAGAGGCTCCTCCTGCCCCATCAGCTCTTCCGTGGGGAGTCTGAAGGAGCTCCAGTGCTTCTGCTGCTCTGCCAGGGGCCTGACCCTCGTTGGAGGACGGGGTAAGTCTCCCCTGGGGCTGTGGGTGAGGTTTTATTTATAATATTGTAACAGGGTAAAGCTCTCCCTGAGCGGGACCCCATGAAACGCAGTTGGGTTTGTAGGGGCTGAGATGGGTGAGGGGGTTTATACATAAAGGGCTCAGAGCTGCAGGGCTGGATGGGGGTCCTGATTCCTCCCTTTCCCATCCAGATTAGCTCTAATTGTGGAATCACAGCATCACAGGCTGGGTTGGGTTGGAAGGGACCTTAAACCCCAACCTGGTCTTGGACACTTCCAGGGATGGGACATTTCTCCTGCTGTTCTCCGGGCAGGTTTGTGGCTAATGGTTGGTGTGATTCACCTTCGAGTTACATGAAGATTAACTCCCTCCCCCTCCCCCTGTTTTTGCCTTGTTAAGTTAAAGCACATTTTGAATTTTGGAGTAATTCTTAGGTGTTTTCTTCTTACCTCTCAAAATTCCCCCTCTCACTCGGAGTGCAGATCCTCTGTCTCTTTCATTAAGAAATTATTACATCATATTAAAAGTTGTTTTCCACAGAGTGGGCATCAAATCCAGGCTATGGATGTTGGGGGGGGAGGGAGCTTCCTGCTTTTGCCAGGGAAAGGAGCAGGAAGACAGTTTCAGAAATTGCCATTTTCTGCAGCTTTTACTGAGCCAGAAGAGTAAACAGCACCCAAACCTGCTGCATTTAAATGAAACCCATGACCTTGCGGGTTTTTGTCCCCCTGAGCTGGTTGTTGCCACTGCAGTGGGTCTGTTTTGGGCAGAAAAGGAAGGATCCATCCTGTTGCCAGCCTGGCTGCTCTCTGGAATGGGGTGGGATTTCTGCAGCTCTGTGGGTGATGATGCCAGAAGGCAGCAACAAATCATGGAGTGTGGGGAGTGCTGGGGTCTCACCAGGCATTTGAAATGCAGAGACTTTGGAGCCAAGCAGCAACAGCACCATCTCTTTCATCTTCCTCCCTCAGCAGGCAGTGGTGGTGAACATTTGAGCTGCTTTCTCTTCCCTTTGTGGCACGTTGGAGAGTGTCAAGCTGAGTGTGGCAGGTTGGGATCTGACTCTCATGAGGGTGTCTGAAAAGCAAGGCTTTTTCTCCTTGAACCTCTGGAGACCAGGATCAGTGAACACTGGAAAACCAAAGCAAGACTTTGGGCCTTTGAAGCTGCCAGGATGGCCTGTGGAGGCCAGGATAATCAGTGATTGACTTCTGGCCATAGATCTTCGGGATCAGGGATCGTTGGAAAACCTCCCTGTGCTGCTTCAGCCCCTGTTGCCTCTGCCCCAGCTCAGCCTTGAGGTGATGAGCTCAGTGCTTCTCTCTTCCACCCCACCCCTTGCAGGTCAGCACAGAGAGCTCTCCTGAGTCCCCTCTCACCTTCAGGAACCCCAGTGTGGACTGAGTGTCCCAGGGGCTGCACCCCTTGTCCCTTCTCCTGCTGAGCAGCTTCTGGACCAAGCAGTGGGATTCAGGCGTGATCCTGCAGCTCAGCCTGGTCCTGGGAGGTGTCCTGATCATCCACTCAGGATTTCCAACCTCAGCCTTGGCGACCAGTGGCCATCTGGGCAGTTTCTCTGCCAGTTCAGGTTTTCCTGCACTGCAGCATCCATTTCCTGACATTCATCCCCATCCACCTGTACTTGGTTGTTGTGTGGTACAAGAGCAAGTCCCTCTGGAAGAAACCTGGAGAAACCTGTGCTTGTTCATCTGGCTCATCCTCTTTGTCCCAGGGCTGCCTTTCTTCTTCCTCCTCTAGACTTCAGTCCCAGGCTAAACAAAATGCCTAAATATTTATCTCTTTCCTTCTTCCACACCATGGTTCTTGTTTTGCTCTCTTTCCTCCTGTCCTTTGCCATTTCCCTGACTTGTGGGGCTCTGTTGGGAGCTGCCACTGCGGAAGCAGCAAGGAAACTCCAGAGGCAGCAGAGAAAGAACAAGTCTCTGCAGATAATGACAGGTGGGTTTTGTGATCTGCTTTGACCCCCTGCACATCTGCAGGACCACTGGCATCCTTATGGAGTCCTATGGCATGTCTTGGCACCTCTTGCACTGAGGAGAAGTTGCCTCCAACATCAGCTGGGTGTTCCCCATGGCAAACACCTGCCTGGATCCCTGATTTATGTGTTTGCCAAAGACGACTCCAAGGAAATGTTTCTGACTCATTTTGCAAATGCTGGGCACCAACTGAGTGTGAAAGGTCCAGGAGCCACCCAGGACATTCCTGGGGGATCCCACGGGGTGGTTGCTGGAGATCCAGACCCTGAGCTCCCTCCTCCTGCTCTGTCCCAGGTTCCCAGAGCTACCATAGCAGCACTGCAGGAGTTCCAGGATTTCTTTGTGTTCCTCCAGTGCTATCAGGGGCTGTTCCTTTGGGCAGGGACCCCCTGGGCTGTAAGGAAGCTCCTGCCAGTACTGGTGGCTGGATCTCCCAAATGGGGGCTGTTTTACAGACCTTGTGGGGTGCAAGGAGGAAGTAGGGGAAGAATTTACAACCATGGTCATAAACCATGAGAAGGTCCAGTGACAACTGGCATGAACCTCCTGCCCAGGAGTATTTTGTGCTTTTTGTTTTCCATCAGGAGCAGGGGCTGTGCAGGTCTGAGCCAGCACCCCAAAACACAGGGGAAAATAACCCATGTGCAGGCACCTGGTTGTCCCTCGGCCACCCAGAATTCGGCAGCCTTGTTGTAATGTTCCAAACTGTGGGAAAGATGGGAATGAAATGAGTTCTGGGGCAGGAGTCAGAGGGAGGAGATGCTCCCCTAGGTAAGGCAACAACTTGGAAGCTCAGGGTTTATTTTTAGGCTTCACTGTAAACTTATTATCTGAACATGAGACTTCACTTCTCCATCCCTCAAATCTGTCTGAGTTGTCCTTCCCCTCTCTGCCCTGTCTCTTCCAATGGAAAACCAACAGTCAACAAAGTACCTGTGATCTGCTTTTTCTGGCAGCAGAGCCAGGGTTTCTGGAAAACACTGCAGCAAGTGCTGCTGTGAGAGAATGAGAGGAGAGTCCTCATTTCCTAAGAGGAGCTGGGCAGTAAGTCAGGATTTTCAACAAGGTTTTTGTTTCCAGTTGCTCCACTTAGGTTTGGATATTGTGGCTACTGGATCTGCCCCTGTGGCCACCTCTGGCCACCTCTGCAGACACAGCCTTTACTGGAAGTGCCCTCAGGGCGGGTGAGGTGGGTGCCCACCTGTGAGGAGGGCACAGTGACCTCCCCCAGCACCAGCCCAGGGGCTGGGAGGGTGATGAGGTGCAGAAAGGTGGCTTGCAGGGCTCTGCTCTGATGTAACCCAACAAATAACCTGTTTATCCTAGAAACCAGTATCAAGGGCAGGGTAGAAATGACTGAGAGACTCGTGTTCTGACTTGGCTTCTCTCTACTGGTTAATTCCTTGATTAGTCCCCACCTGCCTCACTGGGGCTGCTGTGAGGCTTAAATGAATTTGTGTCTCATCATGCACCTGGCAAGCTCAGAGCAAAGGTGTTGTCCCTGCTGTTAGAACACCCTTGTTGGATAAATCCTGTTGCCAAAGCCAGGCAGGCTCCAGAGCCCTGCCTGAGGCACGTGGGTGGCAGAAAACAGCACCTTGGCTTTGGGCTCCTTCCTAGAGGAGGAAATACCTCTGTGTTCGTGATTTGGTGCACAAAGAAAGGGATGTTTGTCTATGCCTGTGGAAAAGGTGAATGTCACTGTCCCCTCACAGCATTTGCCAAAGTGCCCAGCAAACAGATGAAGCTTCACGTTTCAACATGCAGCTGAGCAGGGGATGGGGAAGGGCTGAATCAGGATAATCCCTTTTTATTCCACCAGGGAGCATAACTCTAATGATTTTGATGCTAAACACTTCTGCAGGTCAACATTCACCTTTTTATTTCTGAGTAACTGTCCATTAGTGATTCCCTCTGGACAGCCAACTGTGAAGCAAACCCAGAGCTGTTCTAGGCAAGTACAGGGATGGCAAATAACCAGGAATTTAAATGTATCTGAAACCCAAAACCTGCCCTGAGCACCCCCACAAATCTTATTGTCTCTCCTCAGTTTGAACATTTATTCAGCATTTAGGAACTCCAGTAAAATCACTGTATTCCAGCCGTGTTTGGTTTAAAGGGACTTTTGAGAATATGGTCCCTATTCACTTCCTATGAGGAAAATGGGTATGCTCATCATATTTTAAGGTGATTTTCTTATGCCTTTCTGAGGTGAATTTCTGAGCTTGTAAGGAGCATGACCATAGCACTCCTTGGTTCATAACCAGTTAATAACTCCTTGGTTACTCCAGATTATCACTGCTGTTAAGGCTTCATGAACAGGTCCTACCCAGAGGCTGGAGAGCCACAGCTCAACGTTTCCAGCAGAAAGTCACCCTTGGGGTGCAAACACTTCGTTCTGCAGATCAACCCCCTCCGCAGGAAGAAACCCTCCCTCCCGCAGGAAATATCACCCGATTTGCATATTAATCACCCTCCCTCCCGCAGGAAATATCACGCTATTTGCATATTAATCGACCTGCTGGGCGATGAGTGGCCGGGAGGCTCCTCGGGATGTCAGAGCCCTGCTATTCCCAGCGGTCAGTGGGGAGCGCTGCTGGTGGAGCTGGGAAAACCCCTCCGCGCAGGGGGTTTTGTTCCAGCGTTTCTTTGGGATGCGGGCTGAGCCCTCCCGCCCAGCCCAGCGGGAACCGCGGCCGCTCCCCCGCATTTTTGGGTGGTGACTCTCGAGGGCGCTTCCTGTGTTTGTGAGATGCCAAATCCTCCCCGCGGGCACGGCCCGGGCAGTGCCAGCGCTCGGCTCGTCCCCTCCGTGGGCACGGACGCGGCTCTGGTGCTGTGGGGAAAGCTCTCCTCCCCTTCCACGGAGCCGTGGAGATGGGAAGGCACCGCAGCAAGGTGGAAAAACCCCTGTCCAACAAAGTCGCGCAGCGAGGGTTCTGCTCCCCACGCCCAGAGCATCTCCGAGGGTGGAGCATCCCCTCCCTCACCCCACGGGCAGCCC